TTTTTTTTTTTTTTTTTTTTTTTTTCTGCTGTGCAGAAACTTTTTAGTTTAATTAAGTGTCATCCATTTATCTTTGTTTTTGTTGCTTTTGCTTTTGGGTTCTTGATCATGAAGTCTTTGCTTAAGCCAATGTCTAGCAGGGCTCTTCTGATGATATCTTCTAGAATTTTTATGGTTTCAGGTTTTTGATTTAAGTCCTTGATCCATCTTGAGTTGATTTTTTTAATATGTTGAGTAATGAGGATCCACTTTCATTATTCTACATGTGGCTTGCCAATTATCCCAGCATAATTGGTTGAATAGTGTCTCCTTTCCAAACTTTATATTTTTGTTTGCTTTGTTGAAGATCAGTCAGCTGTAAGTAGTTGGCTTTATTCTTGGGTTCTCTATTCTGTTCTATTGTTCTAGATGACTATTTTTATACCAGTACCATGCTATTTTGGTGACTATGGCCTTATAGTAGAGTTTGAAGTCAGATGATGTGATGCCTCCAGATATATTCTTTTTGGTTAGTCTTATTTTGGCTATGTGGGATCTTTTTTGGTTCCCTATGAATTTTAGGATTGTTTTTTGCAGTTCTGTGAAGAACGATGATGATATTTTGAGGGGAATTGCATTGAATCTGTGGACTGTTTTTGGTAGCATGATCATTTTCACAATTTTGATTCTACCTATGCATGAACATGGGGCATGTTTCCATTTGTTTGTATCATCTATGATTTATTTCAGCGGTCCTCATAGTTTTCCTTAGAGGTCATTTACCTCTTTGGTTAGGTATATTCCTAATTATTATTATTACCATTATTATTTGCAGCTATTGTAAAAGTGTTTGAGTTCCTGATTTGATTCTCAGCTTGGTTGCTGTTGGTATATAGCGGAGCTACTGATTTGTGTACATTAATTTTGTATCCTAAAACTTTGCTGAATTCATTTACCAGTTCTAGGAGATTTTTGGATGAGTCTTAGGTGTTTCTAGGTATATGATCATGACCTCAGCAATCAGTGACAGTTTGATTTTATCTGTATGGATTTGGATGTCTTTTATTTCTTTCTCTTGTCTGATTGCTTTGACTGGGACTTCCAGTACTATGTTGAATGGAAGTGGTGAAGGTGGGCATCCTTGTCTTATTCCAGTTCTCAGAGAACATGCTTTAAACTTCTCTCCATTCAGTATAGTGTTGGCTGTGGATTTTTCATAGATGGTTTTAATTATCCTAAGGTATGTCCATTCTATGCCAGTTGTGTTGAGGATTTTAATCTTAAAGAGATAGTGGACTTTTTTCAAATGATTTTTCTGCATCTATTGAGATGATCATGTGATTTTTGTTTTTATTTCTGTTTATGTGATGTATCACATTTACTAACTTGCCTATTTTAGTAAAATGCGAAAGATTTATACGATCTGAAGAGAAACCAGAGTATGACTTGCCTATTTTAAACCATCCCTGGTATAAAACCCACTTGATCAGTTTTGCTCTTGTTGCCCAGGCTGGAATGCAGTGACATGATCTCAGCTCACAGCAACCTTTGCCTCCAAGATTCAAGCTATTACCCTGCTTCAGACCATTGAGTGGCTGGAATTACAGGCACTCACCACTATGACCAGATATTTTTGTATTTTTAGTAGAGATGGAGTTTTGGCATGTTGGCTAGGCTGGTCTTGAACTCCTGGCATCAGGTGATCCTCCCACCTCAGCTTCCCGAAGTACTGGGATTACAAGCATAAGCCACCATTCTTGGCCTGCATTATCTTTTTGTTATGCTGTTGGATTCCATTAGCTAGTTTTTTTCTGAGAATTTTGCATCTGTATATATCAGGTATATTGGTCTGTAGCTTTCTTATTTTTTTATTTTTATTTTTTTGTCCTTTCCTGATTATGGTATTAGGGTGATACCAGCTTCATAGAATGATTTAGGGAGGATTACCTCTATCTTGTGGGTAATGTTTACAGGGTTGGTAGATATTCTTCTTTGAATGTTGTATAGAATTCAGCTGTGAATCTGTCTGGTCCTGGACTTGTTTTTGTTGGCATTGGTTTTTTGTTATTACCATTTCAGTCTTTCTTCTTGTTATTCGTCTATCCAGAGTCTCTATTTCTTCCTGGCTTAATATAGAAGGGATGTATATTTCCAGAAATTTATCTATCTCCTCTAGGTTTTCTAGTTTGTGCACATAAAGGTGTTCATAGTAGCCTTGAATGATCCTTTGTATTTCTGTGATATCTGTTGTAATATCTCCCATTTTGTTGCTAATCAAGCTTATTTGGATCTTCTCCTTTTCTTGGTTAATATTGCTATGGTTTATTAATTTTATGCATCTTTTTAAAGAATAAGCTTTTTGCTTTATTTATCTTTTTGTTTATTTGTTTCAATTTCATTGAGTTCTGATCTGGTCTTGGTTATTTGTTTTCTTCTGCTGGCTTTGGGCTTGGTTTGGTCTTATTTCTCTAGTTCCTTGAAATGCGACCTTAGATGATCTATTTGTGCTCTCTCAGACTTTGTGATGTAGGCATTTAATGCTATGAACTTTCCTCTTAGCACCACGTTTTCTATATCACAAAGGTTTTGATATGTTGTGTCACTATTATCGTTCAGTTCAAAGAATTTTTTAATTTCCATCATGATTTTATTGCTTACCCAATGATCATTCAGGATCAGATCATTTAATTTCCAGGTATTCACATTATTTTGAAGGTTCCTTTTGTAATTAATTGCCAATTTTATTCCACTGTGATCTGAGAGAGTACTTAATTCGATTTTGTTTTTCTTTAATTTGTTGACACGTGTTTTGTGGCCTATCATATGGTCTATCCTGGAGAGTGTTCCATGTGCTGATGAATAGAATGTATATTCTGCAGTTGTTTGATAGAATGTTCTGTCAGTATCTGTTAATTCCATTTGTTCTAAGATATATTTTAAATCTACTGTTCCTTTGTTGATTTTCTGTCTTGATAACTTGTCTAGTGCTGTCAGTGGAGTATTGAAGCCCCCACTACTATTTTATTCTTCTCTATCTCATTTCTTAGCTATAGTAATAACTGTTTTATAAATTTATAAGCTTCCATTTTAGGTGCATAAATATTTGGGAGTGTGATATTTTTCTGTTGGACTACTCCTTTTATCATTATATAATGTCCCCCTTTGTCTTTTTTAACTGCTGTTGCTTTAATGTTTGTTTTGTCTGACATAAGAATAGCTACATTTGCTCACTTTTGGTGTCCAAAAGAGGTGGAAAAATATATTTTATGAAAATTAGTTTTTAAGTTTCTATGAATCCTTATGTGTCATGTGAGTTTCTTGAGGACAGTAGATACTTGTTTGGAGAATTCTCATTCATTCTGTCATTCTTATGTTTTAAGTGGAGCATTTAGGATATTTCTAGTCAATGTTATTATTGAGATGTGAGGTATTATTCTATTCATCATGCTATTTGTTGCCTGAAGGGTTCATTTTATTTTAATTGTGTTATTGTTTTATAGGTCCTTTGAGATTTGCTTTAAGAGATTCTATTTTGGTATATTTAGAGGATTTATTTCAAGATTTAGAGCTCCTTTTAGCAGTTCCTGTAGTGCTGGCTCAGTAGTGGTGAATTCTTTCAGCATTTGTTTGTCTGAAAAAGATTGTATCCTTCCTTCATTTATGAAGCTTAACTTCACTGAATACAAAATTCTTGGCTGATAATTGTTTTGTTTAAGAAAGATAAATATAGGACCTCAATCTCTTCTAGCCTGTAGGGTGTCTGATGAGAAATCTCCTGTTAATCCAATAGGTTTTCCTTTATAGGTTACCTGATGCTTTTGCCTCACTGCTCTTAAGATTCATTCCTTTGTCTTGACTTTAGATAACCTGATGATTATATGTGAAGCAATAATCTTTTTGTGATGCATTTTCCAGATGTTTTCTGAGCTTCTTGTATTTGGATGTCTAGATCCTTTATAAGGCTAGGAAAGTTTTCCTCAATTGTTCTCTCAAATATGTTTCCCAAACTTAGATTTCTCCTTTTCCTCAGGAACACCAATTATTCTTTGGTTTGGTCATTTAACATAATCTCAAAATTTTTGGAGGCTTCATTCATTTTTTAAATTTTTTCTTTGTCTTTGTTTGATTGGGATAATTTGAAATCCTTGTCTATGATCTCTGAAGTTCTTTCTTCTACTTATTGGGTTCTATTGCTGAGACTTTCCAGTGCATTTTGCATTTCACATTTTTCTAAGTGTGTCCATTTCTAGAAGTTGTGATTGTTTTTTATTTATGCTATCTATTTCACTGGAGATTTCTTCCATCCATATTCTGTATCTTTTTTATATTTAAATAAAGTTGGACTTCACCTTTCTCTGGTGCCTCCTTGATTAGCTTAATAATTTACCTTCAGAATTTTTTTTCTGGCAATTCAGAGCTTTTATCTTAGTTTGGATCCATTGCTGGTGAGTTAGTGTGATCTTTCGGGGGTGTCAAAAAACTTTGCTTTGTCACATTACCAGAATTGTCTTTCTGGTTCCTTCTCATTTTGGTAGACTATGTCAGAAGGTAGATCTGAGACTCAAGGGCTTCTTTTCAAATTCTTTTCTCCCATGAGGTACTCCTATGATTTAGTGCTCTTCCACCACCCCTAGTGATGTGACTTTCTTAGAGCCAAACTGCAGTGCTTGTTATTTCTCTTCTGGATCTAGCCACCCAAAGAAGCTACTGGGCTCCAGGTTGGTACTGTAGTGTGTCTGCAAAGAGTCATGTGATATAATCTGTCTTCAGGTCTCTCAGCCATGGATACTGGCACCTGCTCCAGTGGAGGTAGCAAGGGAGTGAAGTAGACTCTGTGAGGAGGCTTTCTTGTATTTTTGTTAAGTGTATTGGTTTTGTGTTTGTTGACCTGTAGCCAGGAGGTGGTGCTTTCAAGAGCCCATCAGCTGCAGTAGTATAGGAAAGATACAAGTTTTTTGTTGGGTCATGTCATGGGTAGGACCATAGAGCTCCTAAGAGATTATGTTCTTCATCTTCAGAGTTTCTCTGCTGTCCCATGGAACCTGCAGCATCAACTCACCCTCTTCAAATGTCTGTGGATTCTCTTAGCTTTCCTTGTACTGCAGGAACACTGCAGTAGTTTTTGGAGCAAGAGTTTACAATATGAGTCTCCACATGATGCTCTATCTGAGTGGGAGCTTCAAATTATTACTGCCTCCTATCTGCCATTTTTTCCCAGACCCTGATTTGTCATTTTCTTTCCTTGTAATTTTTTGCCTGATTTTGATATTAGATTAGTACTGGACTCATGAAATAAGTTGGAAAATATTTCACAATCTCTATTTATTTGAAAATGTTTTTGAAAAAGTAGAATTCATTATCTTGATTCTGTGCTAAAATGTATCAGTTAAGACATAGGACCTGGTGTTTTCTTTTTCTGTGTTTTTATTTTTACATTAGCAATTTAATCCCTATAATTGTTATAGGTTGATTTTGATTTTCTATTTCATCCTTAGTTCATGACAGTAATTTTTATCTTTCTAGAAATTTCTCCATTTCAACCAATTTATCTAACTTGTTGACATATGGCTGATCATAATATTCTTTCATAATTCTTCTCATGTCTTTAAGGCCAAAAGTAATGTG